CCGATCGAGTATGCCTCCATTTTTGGAAATATATGGCTACTTCGATCGAGTAGTGCCTCGGTTCCTCTTTTTAAACGATACCCGACCGAGTATGAGATGGTACTCGATCGAGTATGTCCCCAGACACTTCAAAACCTGCATTTTCTTCTTCTTCAAAACAAACATGTGATTAGTTCCCTATCTCTCTTTTCTCTCAAATTAACACAAAAAGGAAATAAAATCTAACTACCTGACTTGGGTTGCCTCCCAAGAAGCGCCTTATTTAACGTCGTGGCACGACGTTTTATTTATTTTTATTTTTATTTTATGTGGGATCGTGAGCATCCCTTCCGTCATTTTTTTTTCTTTAGCCTTTTCTAGTAAGGCCAACATTTCTTCTTTGTTCCCAATTCAATTAAAACATGTGGTGTTGGTGGTTCAAAAACATTTAAAGAACAAAGAGATTGATCTTTAATTTGTTTTTTCGTAGAGTCAAAGATATTGAACTCTACTTTTTGGTCATTGAACTCTAAAGTTAATGAACCACTAGACACGTCAATTTTTGTTTTTGCGGTCTTTAAGAAGGGTCTTCCCAAAAGGATGGGCGCTGTTTGGTCATCATTCCCCATTTCGAGGACGTAGAAGTCGACGGGAAAAACCATATTCTCTACTTCTACTAGCACATCTTCTAATACACCCTTCGGGTAGGTACTAGAACGATCTGCTAGTTGAATCACCACACCGGTTTGATGTAGTGGGCCAAGTTGTAGGGTTTTATAAACGGAATAAGGAATGACGTTTATAGATGCCCCTAAATCTAATAAGGCCTTAAGAAATGTGGTGTTTCCTATTGTGCAAGGAATAGTGAACATGCCCGGGTCGCTACATTTTTTTGGAAGTTTTTCCTGAAAGATGGCCGAGACATGCTCACTAACTTCAACCTTTGGTTTCCCCTTTAATTTATCTTTTCTTTTCATTATACATAGTTCTTTTAAGAACTTTGCATAACGGGGAACACTTTGGATTAGTTTAAAGAGTGGGGTATTTACCTCACAATCGGCGAAAGTCTCATACATGTCCCGATCATTCTCCATTTTTCTTGTGTTCTTAAGCGCCTCAGGGAATGGAGGGAGTGGCTCATATGATGACAGCGGAGGGAGTTTTGTCTTCGTTGGCTCCTCCTCCTTGTGGTCAACCTCATTTTTGTCAACCTTTTCTTTCTCAACTTCCCTTGCTTGTATTTCCGGGCTACTCCTTAGCATGATGGCGTTGACTTGTTGCCTTGGGTTTTGCTCAGTTTGGGAAGGGAGCCTACCCGAATCTCTTGCTTCAAGTCGATTTACAGCATTCGAAATTTGGCTGACTTGAGTTTCCAAATTTTGAATGCTTGACTTTGTTTCTTGTTGAAATTGCACCACGTTTTGTTGTAAGGTGCCCATGGTAGTAGCAAGAGTTCGAATCATGTCTTCCGTAGACATACTCGATTGAGAATGTGGGTTGGCTTGTTGGGGGTTTCCATACCTCAAGTTTGGATGATCCCTCAACCCGGGATGGTAGGAGTTCGAAAATGGGTCGTACCTCCTTTGTTGATGACCTTGGAAGCCCAAGGCGTTGACTTGTTCTTTGTCTTCTTGAAGAGTTGGGCATGAGTCCGTGGGATGCCCTGGTTGTGTACAAATACCGCAGACCTTGACTTCTTGGGCCTTGGATTTTAAAAGGAAATCCTTAACCAAAGAAGTCAAGCCGTTCACTTGACTTGTCAAGCCGTTCACTTGACTTTCCAACGAGTTGTTGGATTCCGCCGCCATAACTCTACGGGTTGAGGAACGCCCGTTATAGTGTCTGGAGTTCTCGGCCAACTCCGAGATGAGATCTCTCGCTTGTGAAGGGGTTTTGTTGACAATGCCCCCTCCACACGCCGCATTCACCATGCGGCGATCTTGATCCACAAGACCATCATAGAAGTAGAGAATGAGGTCTTGTTCGGTGTATCCGTGATAGGGGCAACTTGCACATAGCTTCTTGAATCTCTCCCAATATTCATATAGGGATTCATCATCTTTTTGTTCAATGTTGCTTATTTGCTTCTTGAGTGATGATGAAATAGAAGCAGGGTAGTACCTGTCAAGAAAGGCCTTCTTCATTTGTGGCCATGTAGTGATACTTCCCGAAGGAAGATAGAAAAGCCAGTCCTTTGCGGTATCCTTCAGAGATAATGGGAAGGCCCTCAGTTTGATTTGCTCCTCGGATACACCATTGGGGCACATGCTTGTGCACACAATATGGAATTCCGACAAGTGTTTGTTCGGATCCTCCCCTCGTAAACCATGGAATGATGGAAGGAGATGAATGAGCCCAGATTTTAGCTCAAATGTGACCCCCGTATCAAGAGTTGGAAAAGTGATACATAGGGGTTGTTGATTAAGATTCAGAGCTGTGAGCTCCCTCAATGTTCTCGTCTCAAGAGCCATAGTGATTGGCTCTTCGGTCTTGCTAGATTGAGAACTAGCACTTGATGATTCCCCCGAAGAAGTATTCGGAAATAAATTCCTAAACCTTTCGAAGGCTTGTTCCGTTTGGGGGTTTGTTTGGTAGATGATTTCGTTTATAGATCGGGTTCTTACCATATACTCAAACAAGCTCAGAAGAAATAGAAATCTTTATACTTCAACTATTTTTTTCTTTTTCTTTAAAATAAAATAAAAAGAAAAATTAATTGCCTTTCAACTATTTGACGTGCACTTTGTCGTGAGTGCACTCAAAATAAATTCAACACTAGCACTTATACGTAGTATAGGTGAAGTAGAGTTCGTATCCACAGGGAAAGGAATAACTTTCTTTTTATATAAATAGCAAGTAAAGGGGGGTTTTGATTGTTGAGTGATTTAATTAAATTAAACACGAAGATGAACGAGTTATATGGGATTTAATTCAAAGATAAAAGTGACTTGGCATTGCTACTTTCCACTTGTTCATATATTTTAGTCGATCATTGTTATATCTATAACTTATCTCCTCTCGAATACTCAAACGAGGAGTATATCCAATTCATCGAGGATAGTTATTAACAACAACCGTTCATTAATAACCCTTACTATTAGTCAAGTATAGAACAACGCCATATACCGACTTGATAGTAGCATTTAATCTTTTAACTCCTTGATGAAATCAATTGAGATTGATAACCTCAACACAACGGTTTCGGTTTAACCAACAAAATTAATCCCTCTTAAGTTTATTAACCACGACCGTGCATTAATAAACCGAAGTTACTTACTTGTGAAACTATCAACGATTAACCATCGGTTCGTTGATCGTTTCTAGTAATAATTAATATGTGAAACAAAACTAGTTGATCCTTTAAGTAATGTTCAAAATATTAATATGAAATATGAATAGGAATTAATTAATACTCAAGGAAGAATATTAAAGGGAATGAATCCTACTATAGTTAAATATCAAGATGTTAACTAATTGTCATCTTAGTAACACTCCCCGATATTAACATAGAGGAAGGAATAGCTATTACTAAAACCAATGTCAAGATGTTAACTAATTGTCATCTTAGTAACACTCCCCAACATTGATATAGAAATAGTATTTAAAGGAAGAATTAATATTCAAGGAAAAGAAGTTAAGAAAATAACTCACAACTTTAATAATTAACAAGCTTCAAGAGCAATACCAAGAAATGGAAGTTTAGCTCCTCATTTGGAGACTAAACATGCTAAAAGAAATATAGAGAAATGCTATTCTAAACTGAGCTTAAGAGTATATAAGAATTGGTTTCTTTAAAGTGAAGGAAAGGAGGTGTATTTATAGGCTTTTTGAGGGGCAGGCCGAGTACTCGATCGAGTATGTACATATACTCGATCGAGTATGTGTAGAACTTCGAATTCGATCCATACTCGATCGATATTCGGGTATATTTTATAGCTATACCCGATCGAGTATGTCAGTGTACTCGATCGGGTATGACAATAGAACGTGGCCAAATCTTTCCTTGCATGTTCATTTGTTCCCGGATCGGATCCTTGAAAATCAGTATTGGTACTAGATCGAGTATAAGGTGTACTCGATCGAGTATAGGTCAAAAACAGGAACTTTCCTTCTTTTTGTCTTGTACTCTTGGACCTTCCTTCACCATTGATCATTTGATTGATCTTGGACCTGTTTAAGCTCAGAATAAACCTAATCTAAACAAATTACAAGAATTTAACAAACTAAACTATTACACCGAAAGTGTGTAATTTCCGAAATATTAAACAATCAAAACTAACTAAAAACGTAAATAAACATACGGAAATTACAAACGTATCACCTGAAGCTTAATATAGCACTCTAGTGCTTCTCAATTTTCCGGTGTGGGACATTTAACATTGACCCTTCAAACGTCGCTTGACTGTGTGTTGTAGCTTCGAAGTTTAACAACTATTTTTACCACAACCTTTATGGACACTCAACTCAAAGTGTGCAATTCAACATAGACGTAGTATTGTATGTCTGTGTTAAATAATGCCATATATTAGCACAAACTAATTGCAGTGTACTATGTTTTCAAACAGCATCACAACACGAAATTGATAATATCAAAATAAAAAGTGCTCACTCTACAATGCTGAATTGCCTTTATTTTAAATGGAATCAAATGTTTAGCTTAGTAATACTTGAAAAGTACATGCAAATAATATGAATATGCAAAGAAAAGTACATCATCAACTAATTTATACGAAGTAGTATAATGAGTGATATATGTGATTCTTTTAACTCTATTTTATATCTTAAGAAAAGTCCAATTGTAGGTTTTTTTATATCTTGTAAAAAGAGCCTTAGAATGAGATGAATTAAGAGACAAATGAAACTTCAAAGTGACTTAGAATAGAAGAGTATCTAAAGATGCCCAAACGGTCAAACCTACACATCATCTATTGGCTGATTCAAATGAAGGGCACTAATGATCTGTTAGGTCGTAGATTACCAATAAAAATGACAAATTCCAATAAAAAGGACATGGTAATATTGAACTTACTGTAAAAAATAAAGGATTGATGTGTGCTTCCTAACAAAAAAAACATATTAAATGACATTACAAAATAGGAAGCCAGCAGACAGGAATAGGAGGCGAACGGCCAGGAATCGGAGGCGAGCAGGAGGCTGCTGCAAGTGGCAGGAGTAGGAGGCGAGCAGGGAGGTGGCGGGGACGAGCAAGCAGGAGGCGGAGGTGAACGGACAGAAGGTGGAGGCAAGCAAACAGTAGGCGGTGGCGAGCAAGCAAGCGGTGGAGAGCAAGCAAGAGGCGCCGGCGTGGAGCGGTGCTTTGAGGGCAGAGAGAAACCTCTATTTCTGAGAATTGAAAAGGGGTGTTAGGGTTGCAAGGAGGAAATGAGCTGATAAATGATTGGTATTTGATAAATATGGAGTAATTCACTCACATTTGCTGCATGCTTAGAATGACCGAAGCAACTACTTGCGTGCACTCGGACTTTTTGTTGCGGCTCATAGTAAACCGCAACGAATGATATTAAAAAGTGGACTTATTGTTGCGGTGCTAGTCCAACCTTAGCAAATACGATGGATAATAGAGACTATTTGCTGCAGATTACTTATAACCGCAGCAAATGCATAGCAGCAATTATGGAAAATTCTAGTAGTGTATTCAGTGACGGACCGGCCTCCTTTTGTGGTCCGAGAAAGAGAGGTTTTGAGGGAGATGATCCTGCCTCTCGATGTACTCGCAAAAGTGACCGAAAGTTTTTCCCAGGCATGTTTGGATGTGGTAACCGATGAGATCAACGGTTGGATGGTATCGGTGCAACTGCCAAGTAAAGCACTAATGATAGTGCGATCTTGACGATACCAAATGACATAGCATGGATTGGGCTGAGTTTTGGCAGCATCCATGAATTGGTCCGGCGCAACAGTGGAACCATCAACATATCCGTCGAGGCCGAGACCCACTAGGGCAGAGTGAACCTGGCACTCCCAGACGGGGTAGTTGGACGTGGTGAGTTTGATGGGAAAATGGGTTGAGGCCGGGAGCGGTACAACCGATGTGGTGGGGGTGATGATCGTCATAGATGGATCGGAGAAGAAGAAAAAAATTAAGCTCTTTAGAGGAAGGCTCTTGATGATACCATGAAGAAGTATATGCAAAGTATATTATTCATCTATATAATAACTTGATGTACGTACAAGGATTTATATAGGCTCACACTTGAGTGATAAGACCTGGTAACTAACTAACCTAATGTATGGGGATAAAGCCTATCAGTATGTATACATTCGTATAAGATAATTACAAAGAATAATTAATTAATAATATTATGATTCAATATGCAATACGGTGTAGTGAGCTATGTAATGTGCAATTTGAAAGCTATCAATGGACTTTGGAACGTGGACATGGCACAAACTGGTGGCTAGAAGAAAAACTTGAACGTATTTTAGCCTATGAAGATTGGCTAAAGTTATTTCCTGAAGTTACTGCTACTTCCTTTTAGGGCCCGTCGAGCGATCATCTAATGTTATATATTAGTTTTAATGTTATGGAGAGGATATGGCCAAAAAGAACTTTTAAATTTGAAAATGTGTGTCCCAAAGATGAGGGATGTACATATGTTGTACACTGCAGTTGGATGTGGCAACCATTTTTAGACATTTGCTAGCACACTCAGGGGTGTGGTCATGAACTTGAATCACGGAGAAAAGGAAGGAAGATTGGCTTTCAGGCTCGAATTGAATTCTGTAAGCGGAGGTTAGCTTATTTGAGAAGTGTAGAGGGCGTTGGAATGATGCAAAATTTCAACGGGTGAAATTGATCTTGCTAGACCTTCTTCAAAGGCAAAATACCTTTTAGAAACAACGAGCGAAGAAATTTTGGCTAAAAGAAGGTGATGTCAATTCTAAATTTGTCTATAATTTTGTTAAACAAAGAAGGAGAAGGAATAAAATGGCAGGGTTGAGAGATGACGGGGATCTTGGGTTACACATAGGGGTCAATTGGGTTCTATAGTGTGTGATTTTTACTCAGATCTTTTGTCACCGGGTAGTAGCATGGGCAACAAATTAAAGGCAGATTCTTTGCATGGTTTAGCAACAATTGAGGCTAATCATAATGATATGCTCTTACGGCCGATAATAGAACAAGAGGTGAGGAAGGTTGTGTTTGCCATGCATGGGAATTCTAATTATAATAATTGCACATTCAAACAAAATATATATATGAATATTCAAATGAATGCCTGCATATAACTTTGAATAAAAGTGCCTGCGTTTAGCATAGGAGTGCAAATGGAGAAACTATGCATTTAAAGAGTAAAACACCATACGTGAAAGAACTTTAAAATTGGAAAGAAAATTAAATACGATAAAAAATTATTAAAATAAATAATAAAATAAATGACTCTAAGTATGAAGGAGATTACTCCGCATTAATTACTATCCTATTTATTAGGAATACTTCCTATTTTGATGCCATGTACGTGCCAACCACTCTAATTGAGTTTTACCATTGTATCCCTCAATTAATATTTCGTAGCATGTTGCCTTTTTAAAATTCAATTCCCTACGCAAATTGTGGACGAACAGTTATGTTTAAGAAAAAGATCTTGACCATCGGATTAGAATAATTAAAGGTCCGATTTCATTCTTTTTTACTCTCCTAAGAGGGTGTTCTCACAGGAACCGCACCCTGTATATACATACATACATATATATATATATATATATATATATATATATATATAGGGGTGAGTTCAAGTGAAAAGCAATCTTCCCATGAAAAGTGAGAACAAATCTTGGCCTTCCATCACTTGAAAATGGATGGATTAGATGAACTTAAAACACAAGAGACGATTTCAAAAAATGTGCAAATGTTTATACTATAAAGTGGATAGTAACTGATTAAAAGTGCACTCGTGCATGTAAAAAAAGATTGTCAAAATTTTCCAGCTTGTGCATTTTTTTATTGTGTACCGTATTGCACTTTTGTGCTCTACATATGCACTTTTTGACTATTCTGATGCACATTTGTCACAAAATTTTCAATAAAAGTTCTTCATAATTACAAAAATGCCACCGCGTTTTCAACTTAAAAATTTGATCTCTTCCATCCATTTTTTAACATCAATGGCCAAGATTAGTTCTTATTTTTCACCTAGGATGTACTTTTTATTTGATCCAAACTCTCTCTCTTTCTCTCTCTCTCTCTCTCTCTCTCTCTCTCTATATATATATATATATATATATATATATATATATATATATATATAGATTTTGGTTCAGGTGAGAAATGCATCTAATGTGAGAAATGAGAATGAATCTCAGTCATTGGATTTACGAAGTTGCGCTAAAATTCGCTTTATGTTGCAGTAATATTTAAATTTTGCACATTTTGCACTAAAACTGTTTTATGTTGCACTAATATTTGACGGTGTTGCACCGAAATAGCTTCATGTTGCACTAGACACGTGTAATACGGATTTTTCAGAAGTATTTACAGAAATGCCACTGTGCTAGATTGCATATTTCAGTGAATCATGAAGTGTCTTTTATTGCAACTTAGTCGAATCCAATGGCTGAGATTCATTCTCATTTCTCACCCAAAGGGTTTTTCTCACTTGAACCTTACCCTATATATATATACTCGGTATATATATATATACCGAGTATAATATATATATATATATATATATATATATATATATATATATATATATATGTTTCGAATTTGAAGACTCCGATCCAATTAAAAGTTAGAGGTTACGCAAATCCAATGCCTTAAAAACATCACTTTTGCATGTTGTGTGTAGCTTGCTCCGTCCATCATACTATCATGATATGCACAATCTCATACAAATTAAGTTTATTAACAAAATTGAAATTACAATGAGAAGGGTCCCCATTTAATTTTAAATAACGTGAAAGAAGATGATGAGAAAACTGACATCCGCTATGAAGGTACTGTTCGCCGTGTTAATAGTGTACTTAACGGCAACCACTAGTGTGAACGGCGGCGGTAGCCACGGCTTGGTAGAGAGCACGTGCTTGAGGACACCTAAGTACAAGCTATGCGTGGAGGTTCTTTCGACGGACCCTCGATCCCGGAAAGCAACAGACATAACGACGTTAGCGATCGTCATGGTTGACGCCGTGAAGGCCACGTCAGAGGAAGCCGCCAGCAGGATCAAAGATCTTCAAAGGAGCAGACCGAATATGAAGGATGGCTTGAAGAAATGTGACTTCGAGTACAACACGGTGATCCTTGGCGCGTGCATTAACGAAGCTTATGAGGCGTTGACTAAAGGGAATCCCAAGTTCGCTGAAGACGGCGTCGTTTGCGCGGCCACGTCGGCTGAGATATGCGAGGAGGCTTTCAAGGGTGCCTCGTCTCGTCTTCGTCGTCCCCACTCACCTCACTCAACGCGCGTGTGCGTGACCTCTCAGTCGTCGCTAGGGCTATTATCAGAAACTTACTATAATTAATTAACTCTGGGCTCCCATTGCATTATCTTTACATACGTCAGATGCCGATAGTAATTAACTATTCTTCCCTACATTGATTCTACATGATCGAGTTGCTAATTACGTAGTATTTTAATATATCATGCAATTTCTGAAAAAAATAATAATTTATTTGTATATTATGCAAAAAGTGTACTCACATATTATATTATAAATATACTCCATTGTTCGTGTATAATAAATTGTGAATGATTTGACTTTGTAATTTGCACTCCATTTTTTGAGCGATATTGAACTTTATATCTCATTTTCAAATAAATGAGGTTCATATATTAACCTCATTTTAGTATAAAATAAATTTTCTTTTCCCTCGCTTCTTCAGAAATTTTATTTAGCTAGTGGGGTGCATACATAATTTTTCTTATCAAATTTAGAATGCAAAGTCTAATACTCCGTATATAGATCAAACAAGGGAGTGCAAAGTCAAAATTCCCTATAATAAATACCGAGTATATCGATAGCTAAAATAGCTTTTATACAATAATTTTTATTACTTAGTTCAATTCATCTATGCTTTATCAGTTGAGCTAAATTAGTTTGTACAATAAAAGTTAAATAAGGGACTAAATAAAAAAAATCTTCAAAAATTACAAGGTTGATGTATAATGTGCAAAAGGAAGAGAGTTTTTCCCCCAAAATGTTACTTGAATAAAATTTATTTCAAGAATATATTAAAGTTAATAATATCATATTAGTATAGTGTCATGCTCACCTCTTAAATGTAAGAGTTGAATATAATTTACTATAATTAAAATTACAGTAATAGTCATTGTGTTAAAAAGGTCATATTTTTTAAATAATCCTTGTTATTTGTATGTATGTGATTATATTGATCCAAAATATAATGTTACGTGAAAAAATCAACCGTGGATATACATATGATATATACATGCATTACACCCTATTAAGTTCGATCATTTTCTTATATATCTTTCCACCAAAATTTCCATCCAATCAATGAGAAAAACTCAATCTGATACTAAGTATTATCTGACGGTATGTGAGATAAACTAAACTTAGCAAGACATGAAAGTTCTTATGTAATAGCGTGACACTTGCTCTAGAATAGTATATTTATACTACTTAAATAGACACTTGGTGATTTGGGTGTGTATATTTGTTGCGTAGGTTTATTTTAGAAAGAAATTCTATAAATAAATTAAAGTAAATTTTAGAGTAAAATAGATAAAATGTACAAATACATTTATTTTAGAGTATTTTTGTTTTTTAATGGAACTAAATAAGTTCTATTTGAGGTGAAACGTAAGTACTCATATTTATAAATTTTGTCAATATTATACTCCTATTTAAAATAATATCATTTTATTTTTATCATAGGCTTTGCATGCGCCTGATGCCAATTGCCAAATGATAGCTAGACTACTATCTAGGAAGAGATATTCGTGTCCATCCAACACA